CAGATTCATTATCGGAAACAGTTGTACAGTATTACCCCGCTTTACACGGTTTCACTTTCCGCGATTTCTCATTTACGCAGTACCTTGCCAGAACCGGACTTTCACTTTCCGCGGTGCATCTACTCATATACGCGTGAAGTGTAATTTTTTTTTTTTTTTTATTTAGCTCATAAAATTCATACAAATTACCCGGCCAGAATATAATTTACATTGCTGGAATTCTTACAATATGATGATCATTTTGAATATAAACATCATGGGTTTTGCATTAGACATACAAATTTTAGATCTAATGTAATAATTTGGTTTACACAAAGCTAGTATTTTATCTTTTGTGCAAAATATATGAAGTTTACATTCAAAATATTCCCTGACCTGCAAGGAATCCAGAAATGTCAATTATATTATCCTAACTTTAGTCTGAGTTATTATTTATTACTAAAAAAGTAAATTACTATTTTCTCCCAAAGCTTCTCTGGTAGGGAGGGAAGGTGGGGGGTGGGGGGAAGGGAGGGAGGGACCGACCCAGCTAGGGCCGAGCATTTTGATTGACAGATAGTGTCCTTGAAGAATATTTCTTTGTTTATTTAATGAAGATATATGTTTTAGCTCATAAAATTCATACAAATTACTGGACCAGAATATAATTTACATTGCTGGAATTCTTACAATATGATGATCATTTTGAATATAAACATCATGGATTTTGCATTAGACATAAAAATTTTAGATCTAATGTAATAATTTGGTTTACACAAAGCAATTATTTTATCTTTTGTGCAAAATATATGAAGTTTACATTCAAAATATTCCCTGACCTGCAAGGAATCCAGAAATGTCAATTATATTATCCTAACTTTAGTCTGAGGTATTATTTATTACTAAAAGTTAAAATCTAGTTTTTTCACCCAACATTTCTCTGGTAGGGAGGGAAGGTGGGGGGTGGGGGGGAGGGTTGGGACCGACCGACCCAGCTGGCGTGGTTGGAGAGGGGGGAGGCAAGTTGGGGTACTTTGATTGACAGATAGTGTCGTGAAGAATATTTTTTTTTTATTAACTGAAGATATTTGTTTTAGCTCATAAAATTCATACAAATTACTGGACCAGAATATAATTTACATTGCTGGAATTCTTACAATATGATGATCATTTTGAATATAAACATCATGGATTTTGCATTAGACATAAAAATTTTAGATCTAATGTAATAATTTGGTTTACACAAAGCAATTATTTTATCTTTTGTGCAAAATGTATGAAGTTTACATTCAAAATATTCCCTGACCTGCAAGGAATCCAGAAATGTCAATTATATTATCCTAACTTTAGTCTGAGGTATTATTTATCACTAAACGTTAAAATCTAGTGTTTCACCCAATCATTTCTCAGAGAGGTAGGGGCCAGTGAGCTGGGAAGAGGGGGGGTGGGAGGGGGGGGGATTTGAGTCCATTATTTGAATGGACATTAACCTGGCGACTGTATTTCTCTTAAATGTTAATTGTGTGAGCATACCATCATAAAATTTAGATGTTATTTTTACTACAACATAGGTATTGTGTCGGAAAAAGTGGAGTTTGGGGGTCGGGCCAGTCTCTATTGGAATTAATCCCATATGCCCTGTTGTTCACTTTACGCGGTTTTCACTTTCCGCGGTACCCTGTGGGTTCAATTGACCGCGTAAATTGGGGTACTACTGTATTAGAATTTTTAGAATTTCTGTTCAGAGTTAAGGGCCTTCAAGGATCGACAATTGCATCTTATAAATCAGCGTTGGTTGACCCTCTTGCTTGGGGCTTTAATATTACTTTGAACCCAAGGATTTATCAAATGCTAAGATCGTCCTTTTTCATTCAGAGACCTCGACCCAAGAGATTCCCGCCTTGGTCTCTGGAAAAAGTTACTAATCTTCTTATGGGGCCTAATTACAATATAAATCTGAACAGGGATAAATTACTCCAGAAGGCAGCTTTCCTTCTAGCAATAGCAACAGGTATGAGACTCAGTGAACTGATTTCAATTTCCAATAATCCATCATTATTGGTATTTTCTGACGAGGATGTTATCCTTTTTCTTACGGAGACCCTAAGAAAAAATGAAAGGGAAGATTTCCAAGCTCAACCTATTAGGATAAAATGTCTAATGGATGAAACTAGGGTTCCTCACATATTGCGTCCAGTTAAAAATCTTCAGGAATGGTTAACCAGATTCCCTAATAGAGGCCCTTATGTTTTCTCATCAAGGGATGGTAAGAAATTATCTCCTAGTTAATTGACAAAATCCTATCTCAATTAGTGAATCAAGCAGACCCTGGCAAGAAACTTTTGTCACATGACACTAGGAAATATGCAGGTCTGTGGCCTTTCTGCGGCATATGAGTCTCAGTCAGATCAAGGAAATGGGCTTTTGGAGATCTTCAAAAACTTTCAAAGACAGCTATCTTCATCTATCTCTGAGAGATGCTTCAAATGTGGAGGTGCTGGGTTCCCCTCCCCCACTTAGTCAATCTCCACTACCAGGACCATCTTCCTCATCAGAATAAAGTGAGTATCCTTTTTGATTAAATTAACATTTTACCTTCCGGTAAATGTTCCTAATTTTGGAAATGTTCAAAACAATTTATAATATAATCAGGACCTCAGTCAGCGGAGCCTTGTATGCAAAGTCACCTCCCTCTCCACCTCCTACTCGGGTATTCTTGCTGACGTCGCATTCAAGAGCTTTAACAAAAAGCCGTTTTTTTTTCTAAAAACCAGTTTTTGTTATATAGCTCGAATGCGACGTCCATAACCCACCCATCTCCAACCCTCGAGAGTTGACTTTTAATTACTGCTCTCTCTGAGGCAAGAGATGGGGTTCGCGATGCGCATAGTGGCGAGATGAAGGAAGGACTTTGAAAATAGCAATTAAATGCCAGGTAGTGACGTGTCCTCCTAATATTACTGAAGTAATTATTAGATGTTTTAATTGCCTGTATGTTGGCCTGGCGAATTGGCTAGGAATTAACATACCTAGGTAGCATTTGCTGACGTCGCATTCGAGCTATATCACAAAAACTGGTTTTTAGAAAAAAACGTTTTTTTTTTTTTTTCCACCCCCCTACATCCTTGTGTAAGGTGAAGCGCAGAAGCGTTTACAGCGCCCAACAGGGAAGCATGCTAAGTTCATGCTTGCCTTTTATGTCTCATGAGTCAAGGGCGTAGAAGCCTGAAGAGTCAATGGTTTATGGCTAAGCAAGTTATTGGAAGCTCCAACAACTTGTCCCTGAATACGAATTCGCAACTTTCGATTTACAGCAGGTACCTACTTTGCTGCTAGGTGAACAGGGACCAAGGGAGGCTGGGAAGTGTGTCCGAACAACTTTTCACCGGACCGGGAATCAAACCCGTGACATCTCGCTTGAGAGGCAAGTGCGGTACTGTTCTACCCACCGGCGCCCCCTATATGTATGTTGTGTTGTCAATATTAAGAGAAACAATTGAGACCCTGCAATTGTGTGTAAATGAGGCAGAAAGTCAGATTAGAAACCTGGGACTTAGTCACAATATGGCAGCAGGGTCTACCATTAAACAACACATTATGCTTCCCATATCTTCCAATTTCTTATATTGAATCGTCCATCATCTTAGTTCTCATGATTTTGTGTGATTCATATTAATTTAAGTATAAACATCCCATAGTTTACACTAGACATAAAATTTTTAGTAATTAACTTAGTACATTTGCGTACAGATTGTGATAATTTATGTATTGTGGTTGCAGTCGCAAAGCTTCGTGACATTGCTAATGTATAATGTGTCTCCATAGGCCCTGGTTTATTCACTGAGCAGTTGTCTAAGTGCAAAAGTAGCAAATTGAGCCATCATGTATCAATTAATTTTAAAATAAAAATTATAGTCAAATGTTATAAGACAATAGTTTAGTAGTGCTGTTAATGTGCTGTGTAAGTGTCTTGGCATGTCACCTCACTCTTCCCACCCAAAGCACCAACCATGTGAGGATGCAGCTAAACATGGTGCAGTCTTTCATAACGCTGGGAGCCTTTGTCCCCAGGCCCGGAGCAGAAAGGTTTGGAGTGATTTTATCGTTATTTTCTCAGCTCTTCCAGTAATTGCTTTATATCATTATTTATCGTTTTTATACATTTAGTACATTTGTCGAAGGCTGAAGTAGGTTTTACTGTATCTTGTGTTTGAGGTGTCTCTGTAGGTGTGAGCGTATTAACAGAATTAATCTCAATTTAGCAAACTAGTTCACTAAATCAAGCAAAAAATTATGAAAAAATGCCTTCTGCTAAATTGAGGGTTCGTTATATTGGATTCTGTTAAATCGAGAGTATACTGTAAGATGAAGTGTCTTTACTTCAGGTTTAATAGACACCATTTTACCCACCACAAGAAATCTACTGTCTTCTGAGTCTCACACTACACTCCCTACACCCTGGCCTTGGGACTTGTTTTAGTATGCTAATGTAATGTAATGATATGCCAATGTATTTTTTTCATGTAGTTAAAGCTCATAAGCTGGCAGTAAATTTATACCCTGAACAGTACTTGAAATAGTCATGAATGGTTCTATTTTATGTCCTTTGGAAACAGTCCCCAAAAATCTGATACTTCACTAAACCTGGACCTTATTAAGTCTGGGTTAAAGGGGATTCACTCTAATACAATATTACTGATAATTAAATGTCAAAAAGGCATGATAAATTAGAGTACTCAGATGATGAAATGAATACAGATACAGTACATACATTGATATTTAATGTGGGTAAATAATTTATCTATTAGGATTTTCTTAAGAAAAGTATTAAGTGGCCTTTGTTTCAGTTGAATCCATCAACCAAGCGAACCTGGATCAGTGGCTAGTTTATAATGAACATCTTATGCCTATGTAAGTCTCATGCTTGTGTCAGGACCAGTACAGTACAGTACAGTACCGTATATTCAAATAGTAAATGATAACATGGCATCTACATTTGTCAAGTGCTGGTGAACATTTACCTTTAGGGTTCCAAGTGAAGAAAGTTTTATCCTCTTCTTCTTATTCTCACTTCTCATCTTATACAGAGATCCTGGGATGGGGTGGACAAGATGCTTCTCTTTATGCTGGATCAACTTGGCCTGTGTCTTCCTTAACATCTCTCTCTCAGCTTCAACTGCTTCATTTACTAAATAATGCAAAAATATCCAGCTAAACAAAGAAAAAATTAACACTAAGGTAATACTACTGATATAACACCTATAATCCCACACTGAAGCGAATTAAACCAAAATATAAAACTTGTAATTATTACCTTGTAAGTTCGTGCTTCCTCTTGGTACTAGTGTGTGGTCAACAGGTGCAGCTGTTCTCTGCCTCTTTGGCTGCCCGACAATGGTCTCGTGTACACTATCTTGTGACCGTTTCCTTCCAGTCACTTGATCCTCCTCTGCTTCCTCCTGTTCCCATGGATCATCCTTCAAAAAAGCCTCAGTGATCTCAGTAATTTCTTGGGTATCTAATGTGAGAGTGTCTTTGCCTCTGTCCCTCAGAGCATCGGTCTTGGAGCAATCCCCAATTTCTCGTAAAATTAGCTGTGAGTGAGGCCTTATAACTGGGCTATAATGTATCTTTGTCACTGGGTTGGGCTGCGAACGACCTGTTAAAATTTGGTATTTTAAATCTGTATTTGACCTTTCGGTATCTAGTACATGATCTCTTATAATTCTGTATCTTTTAGCTTCTGGTGATGATCTGGTGATGGAATCTGGCTTTATAATAGAGTGCTCTCTGTTTTCCTCTGAATGATCATACTCTGGCTTAACAACCCTAAACTCTTGTTGTGCTGGTGCTCCGATATCAACAATAGTATATTTATGAACACTACCATCACTTTTTATATATTTCCAGTTAATTTTCTGTGAGCCTAATATGGGTGAGGGACTTCTGAGCGAATCTTCCTCAGGAGTGATGGGTTTACTAAGAGGCTCTTCAACTGCTGCTTTGCTCCCACCAACAGGCATAGATACTTCCATCTCACCACTAATACTTGGCCCTATACTCTCAGTACTACAACCTTTTTCTTCTACAAAGTCTTTGGAGACTTTGAGAGTGTCTATGTTACAGGCAGGTCTTGGTTTATTATCTAATAATCCAGGTGTTACAGAGCCTCTCACACATGCATTCAACCTATTCTCTGCTGTCATCATTGATCTTTCTCTTTTAGAAAGTTCATTATTTGTCTTTACTTCCTTTGACTCACCAATCTCTTGGTCTGAATCCCTTCTTTCTATTGAACTATCTTGAACTAAAGCCATTATATTCCTTTTTTCTGTAATGAACCCTCTACCTTCCAGGGAAGGTTCTTCACTTTCTTGGCTTCTTCTAGTTAAGTCAGTTGAGCACAGTAATCCATTGTTGTTCTGAACGACAGTGTCAGACATCAGTGATGATCTCCTTACATCACTTCTTCCTTCAGTTAGCTTGACTTCCTCCCTTGGCGATAATACTGTACCCATACTTCCCTTAGTACTAACAAAGTCAATGGGATTTTCCATTACTTGCTCAGGAAAAGGTTGCTCAGATTTGAATAAGGATTTGTTTCCACTGTTTAAATTTAATCTACTTGTCTTCTCTGGGACAGCAGACACACTGTTCCTTTCTTGCCACAGTTTCTTGGCTCTGACACTGGCGGCTACTCTCATTGACACCCTTCTGAAACTTTCTCCTTTTAACTGTTCACTCTGATCAACACTGCTCCCTGTCTCAATTAGGTTCATGTCTTTACGTCTAATACATAAAGCAGTGTGTTGCTCCATTTTCTCTGATGAACAATTTCCATTTTTTACTATTGGTTCAATATTTCTTCCTATACTTTTCTGTGACATTTTTTGTGCAGCATGGATAGATTCCCCAGAGCTTCCCAAGTCTTCAGTTCTATTCTTTAGTGCTTTAGCCCTCATTAAGGCACTCTGGCTAATCTTCATATTTGTTCCCCGACCTGCCTGGAATACAGGTGAAGCTCTGCAGTTAGCAATTTTAGAATTCCCTCCAAACACACTAACAGCCTCTTCTGACCACTGTATAACTTGCTGTTCAGATCTGGGAGCGGGAACACCCAGACATGCTTTGTCAAACCCTTGTGACTTTAATGAACTTTGCAAACTTTTTCCAGTCTCTGAGTTTTTATCAGTATTTGTATTTACTTGTTTAGCTTCATCTTCATAAAACTCCCTCCACAACAACCGTGACCTCTTTAAAGCCTGCTGACTAGTGTTGACTCTTAACCCAGAGGCTAAAGAAAAACCTTGGAATCCTCTCACAGTGGTTGAAGATGTCTTCAGACAGGAAAGTTGTCTATTATTTGTATTAACAGATTCTGTTTTATTGTCTACATGGTTTTCATTATCATGTGTTCCATCAGTTCCACTCAGTGAAGACTCATTAATTTTAACATGGGCACCTTTACTAGTATTCAGTGACTTGCTGCCTCCATCATCAGGTACAATTCCTAAATTTTTTTGTCTTAACACGTGACTCAAGTGTTTGGAGTGATCAGCGCCTTTCACTTCAGATCCCTCTCGCTCACTCTCTTCCCTCAACTTCTGTACTCTCTCTACAGCAACTGGGTTCACCTTCACTCTAAAACCACTACAAGTATTGAAGCCATACATGCCTCTAGAGTTAGTTAGACTGGATGACGATGCTAAGGATTCATGATTCATTTTATTGGACTTTATTTTTTTATGAGTGTCATGGCCACAATTTTTTTGGTCATCTGTAGTATGTGACTCATCATCGAATGTAATTTCATCTAACAACCTTTTACCATAATTCAAGGCTTCTTTACTCACTTTTGTCGGCTTTCCGTTACCTGTTAAAAAGCCACAAAAATTAGTATTGTGAGAGTAAGCTTTTTCTGCCCTGCCACCATTACTGTTTCTTGATCCATCATCAACTTCAAGGCCAGCTGTATTACACCCCTGTGATGATCGTTTGATAAAATCATTGTTTCTCTCAGTGAGTCCTTCATCCTTTACTGGGACACTAAAGTTTTCTTCTATTTCTGAAAAATCAATATCATTGAGACTGTCATTCATAATCTCACTTGTCTCTTCTTCTTTCAAGACTCCATGTTGTTCTTTCTTATCGGGACATTGTGAAACTGTTAAAACACTTTCTTCTTTCTGAGGTACAACCCGAGCCTCACAGATGACCATTTCTGGCTCCTCATTTTTCTGCCGTTCTTCCCTGTTTTGTATCATGTCTGCTGATAACACTTTGGAAGGCATCTGGTGTTCACACCCTGACACCACCATCTTTGAATAACCCTGAACAAAATTCAATGTTTTATGGCTTTCACAAGTTGTAATGTTTGGCAGATTTGTGTGTGTTGTGGCCAATTTCTTATCTTCCTTGATCCTGACAGAAACACCACCATCAAATAAAAGGTCAGACTTAATCACAGGTCCTGTACTCACTGCACTATTAACAGCCAGCAGTGCAATGGGTGGTGATCTCGAGTCTTTTTGCTGGCTTTCAACTTGATGTCTTCCGTTCAATTTGACAGGCACCTCATGGTATCCTGGAGGTGGTGTGGTCCTGTTTTCTTTGTCCAAATGAGAATTTACAATTTGTTTTTGCATATAACCACTTTCAAATCTTAAATCTTTCTCAAGGTTTGTGAGAGAGAGGAAATTGCATTGCCTCTTGGCAATGGTATGAATGTCAGTCACAAATGAGGAGGATGCACTCTCTGTACTGGCAGTGTGTATTTTGGCAGGGGAAGGTTCAAGTTCTGTTACTGAACTTTTATTACTTTCAGTCAATCCAATTGATTCTATGTACTTCATCTGAAGTGTTTCATAACCTTCTTCTGGCTTTGTGGGATACATGAACTTACCAGATGATCTTTTTTTCTTGGGTAGAGATAATTTGTTCAAAATACTTTTAGCGTCAGAAGACACGGAAGATACAGTGTTCAAGGTGTCAGGAGAATCCTGGTTTGAGTCCATATTCTTACAAGATGGAATTCTGTTAAACAGTGGTACTGAATAAGATCCTGGAGGCACTTGTCTTTTTCTAAACAATCTAGACAATCTAGAAATTTTGAATGGTGTCTCCATGTCTGAGGGATACTGACCACTGTCTGCACTTTGATTCTTAGCAGCAGAGAATACATTTTTTAATGCAACAACTTCAAGTTTATCTCCATCGACATTTTTGCTCAATGGTTCTGTATTTAAAGCCACATTTCCTTCACAAATATTTTGTTGTGTTGGAAATTTCTGAGCGCTGGACCTGTCGCTCTTTCTGAGACTGTTTGTGTTTTCACTGTCACCTCTCCCTAATTCTGATACCTTACATGCAGCCAAAATTTCCTTTGTGGATTCACTCCTGACTGGTGGTTTCTCATCAACTATTTTGAGCAAGTTTTTATCATCACGATCATACACATTAGGCAGTTTTTGGTCTTCTTGAATATTGACATCTTCTGTACAGTATTTCTGCTTCAAAACACACATACTGTTCCTGGGCTTCACCTTTTTAACAGGTGAACATATTAGATCAAGGGGATTTTCCTTAAAGTCACATGAGTCTTCTTCAGCATCTGACTCAACAGATATGTGTAAATTGTTAGAACCAACACAATCCCTCATATTCATATTTCTCCTAGGAGTCTCCATAATGTCTGTACCTTTAATCTTGTTATCAGGTAAATCTATTTGGGTTACCTTAATTGCCTGTGAGTGTTGTAGCGATTCTGGGGAATTACCCGAGTGAGTCAGCTGTTGCGCACACAATGAAGTCTTTACCGGCTGTGGTATTGGTGTGCTTGTTCTCTCTGGTCGCTTCAACACACACATACTGTTCCTGGGCTTCACTTTTTTAACAGGTGAACATATTAGATCAAGGGGATTTTCCTTAAAGTCACATGAGTCTTCTTCAGCATCTGACTCAACAGATATGTGTAAATTGTTAGAACCAACACAATCCCTCATATTCATATTTCTCCTAGGAGTCTCCATAATGTCTGTACCTTTAATCTTGTTATCAGGTAAATCTATTTGGGTTACCTTAATTGCCTGTGAGTGTTGTAGCGATTCTGGGGAATTACCCGAGTGAGTCAGCTGTTGCGCACACAATGAAGTCTTTACCGGCTGTGGTATTGGTGTGCTTGTTCTCTCTGGTCGCTTCAACACACACATACTGTTCCTGGGCTTCACTTTTTTAACAGGTGAACATATTAGATCAAGGGGATTTTCCTTAAAGTCACATGAGTCTTCTTCAGCATCTGACTCAACAGATATGTGTAAATTGTTAGAACCAACACAATCCCTCATATTCATATTTCTCCTAGGAGTCTCCATAATGTCTGTACCTTTAATCTTGTTATCAGGTAAATCTATTTGGGTTACCTTAATTGCCTGTGAGTGTTGTAGCGATTCTGGGGAATTACCCGAGTGACTCAGCTGTTGCGCACACAATGAAGTCTTTACCGGCTGTGGTATTGGTGTGCTTGTTCTCTCTGGTCGCTTTTTAGTCCAACTGTATTGAATGTCCACTGAGGTGTCCTGGGGGTGTCTATCCCCTTCATTTAAATGTACATTACAATCATTTCTACTTCCAGAGAAATTCATCATCTCACAATCCTCCTCATTAATAGATTCTCTCCTACCTGCAACAGCTCTTACTCTGAACCATTGTGTGTCATTACCAGGAAAACCTCCATTACAATCATCCTCTTCCCTTGAACTTTTGGCAGCTGAAGATGTCACCAGCTTATTATTAAACACAGGTGGAGGAGAGTGACACTTAATGATGCCAAGGCAAGGGCTCCACTCCTCACTTGTTGAAGACCTGTTGATTCCCGGTGTATGTGGACTGAACAGTGGGCGAGCCAAGACCTGTAAGTATTTAGAACAGTGTAAACACATAAAAAAAAAACTCTACAGAAATTACTTACAGTCACGGCCACATCAAAACAATCTAGGGCCCCAGGCACTTTATTGAGAAGGGGGCCCCCCTACCCCATCCCCTACCTTTTGTCAGGAAAAAGAAAGACATAGTAAATTCAAAATAAAAAGTTTATTTAATTATTATTATTTTTTTTTTTTGGGTGAATTCAACTTATAAAATAAACTATAAGGCTATTTCAAGTGTTTTCTCTTTAAGTTTTAAGTTGCATACATTCATTACCAGCAGTCGTAATTAGATTACTCAGAAATTTACCTTTCAATAAAATAAAATCTGACAAAATTGTAGTAATCAGAATGTATGATTTAAATTAATTTACTGGAAGAAACAACTGTAACTAGATGAAGTACAGTACTTTATAGATGTATTAAACTAAAAGTTAGCCTTTCGAGCTTTCATAGCAGCAAACTGGGAAACCACATCTTCAAAGTCAATCACACGTGTTAGATCGCTTTCAATGGACATGATGGCAAGGCAGTTCAGCTTATCTTGGCTCATTGTAGCACGCCTTTCACTTTTTACCAGTTTCATTTTTGAGAAGCTGCGTTCTGCTTCACACACTATGACATGCAATGACAGATATATTCTCAAAGATATGCTGACATTTGGAAAAGTTGCTTCCAAATTCTGATGTTTTCTGAACTTGAGCATCTGATAATAAAATTATAAAAATGTTCAAATTCATCAGCACAATCAGAATCAAAATCATCTCTGTATTTTGATGTGAGATGGATTGCTCTAGCTGGCAAATGCTCTTTATTTTGATCTGAGAAACATTTTAGAAATGCAAAATCATCTGCTAGCCCTCTATAAGCTTCTTTACGTTGTGCAAGACAAGTCCACAGTTTATCTATGATTAGAGAGAGTGAAAGTTTGTACTCTGAACATCTGACCTGGGGATTCTGTGAATTCTTCATCTTGTGATTTACTTTCATCAAAATATCTCTCTCGTTTTCTCGTGAAGTTTTTCTTCATACTGATATTGTTGGTTTATGCATGGCATGGTGTTCTTTGCATCATCTTCAAGCTCGTCAAATTTTTCACGCAGTTTCTCAGTGAACTCCTCAAAAGACTCAAGCAATGATGTTACTGTCAGCAAATCCACACTTTCATTTTGCAGAGTTAGGCTCACTTTATTGAACCGAATAAGTATTCTATTCCACATTTTTGCCATGAAACCTGTTTCCTTACTAGAGGAAAGGTCACGACAGGCTGAGCCGAGGATTAATTGTCAGTAATGGCTAGTTCTACTGGTGAACAGGGTTGTGCTCTTCAGAGGGCCGAGTTAGAGAGGGCCAAGGAAGAAATCTTGAAATTAAAGGAAGTGATAGCGAGGATGGAGGAAGAAATGAGACAAGAAAAGCCCGTGTCTGACGAAAACTTAGGCGAATGGAAGGTTGTGAGGAGAGGGACGACCAAACTGGTGGTGAAAAAACCCACCAAGGATACAACAACAACAGCTAAGTGTACCAACTCTTTCAGTCCTTTGATAGACCAATTGGACGTTAGCATAGTCAGGGACAAGGCTGACAAGGAAGGTACGAAAACCTTAATTGTTGGCGATTCCCAGGTTCAGTACCTGGACAGAGCTTTTTGTGGTAAAAATAAAAATAGGATGAGGGTGTGCTTGCCAGGAGCTAGGGTGGGGGATATAGTTGACAGGATGGACAATATCTTGTCTAGTAATGGGAAAAAACCAATTATCTGCCTTAGTGCAGGAGGCAATGATATTGGCCGGTGTAGGAGTGAGGAGCTTCTTGATAAGTTCAAGACAGCTATAGAACGTATTAGGTCGAAGGGAGGGATCCCTATCATATGTGGTGTCCTGCCTAGAAGGAGAGTTGGCAATGAAAGGTTGTCAAGGGCAGTTGGTGTCAACGGCAGTCTTGACAGATATTGCAAGGCAATATCAGTCCCATTCATTGACAACTGGGACAACTTCTATGGCAGAAGGGACCTTTATGCTAGGGATGGGGGTGCTTCTGTCTAGGGATAGGGTGGCAACCCTGGCTGGGTCTCTCGAGAGGGCAATTCAAAAGATGTTGAAATCTTTAAACTGCTAGAACATATGAGCACGGGGGTGGAGGAGACTGCAGTGGGAGTGGGTAAACAAAGTGAAATGTTACAGGGAAATAGTGCTAGGAATTATGACAAAACTAAATTAGGCAGGGAGTAAAAACCTAAAAGCGACAAAGAGAGGACTCAGAACACGACTAACTTAAATGTCTACTTCGCTAACAGTAGAATATGAGAAACAAAATGGATGAAATCAGGGCGTTAGTATGTACCGAAAAAATCAATATAATAGCATTCACCGAAAAATGGATAAACCTAGACTCACGTGAGTTACCTGTCGAATACCAAATTGCAGGTTACAAATTACAGGTAGTCCCCGGCTTACGACTGACTCAACTTTAGTCAATCCACACTTACGACCTGCTCTGACCGTACGACCGTCCACACATACGACCGCCGCAGTCGTGACCAAAAATTTTTTCAAATGACGCGCGCATTTACTATACCGAAACGTTTCCGTCCTGAGCGAGAACATGGCTGGCTTGGGTCACCGCATAGTTACACTCACTCAGTACAGCGCTTAGTTGGTATTTGGCTATCATATCCTATACTGATCACGCTGTGTACTTACGTTATTATCAAATTTAATTGACTTTATAATGACTGGAAAGTGTAAAAGTGAGAGTGCTGGTGGTGCTCCGAAGAAAAGGAGACAGGCAATTACTTTTGAGATGAAAATGAAGATAATAATGCAGTATGAGAATGGAAAAACTGTAGCAACAATCTCACGTGACCTAGGTTTCTCGCACTCGACCATATCCACTATTCTGAAGGACAAGGAACGTATTCGTGATGTAGTGAAAGGAACAACACCTATAAAGGGAACTATAATTTCGAAGAAAAGACAAGGTCCTATTCACAATATGGAAAAATTATTGGTGATATGGATAGAAGACCAAACACAGAAGCGTTTACCCTTAAGCCTTCTAACCTTACAGGCTAAAGCAAGAAGCCTTTTCCAAAGCCTGAAGGAGCAGGCAAGAGATGAATGTGAGCAAACCTTTACAGCAAGTCATGGGTGGTTTAATAGATTTTAAAAATGCTACAGTCTACACAATGTTAAGGTGGGTGGAGAGGCAGCTAGTGCTGATGTTGGTGCTGCCAAAGCTTTTAAGGAGGAGTTAGATGATGTGATTGTGGAAGGAAATTATTTGCCTGAGCAAATATTCAATGTGGATGAGACTGGATTATTGTGGAAGCGCATGCCTGAGCGGACATACATCCACAAAGAGGCAAAAACAATGCCAGGATTCAAGGCATTCAAGGACAGAATTACACTTCTGTTGGGGGGGGGGGGGAATGTTGCTGGTTTCAAGCTAAAGCCCTTCATGATCTATCATTCAGAGAACCTCAGGGCTTTTAAACATGTCAGCAAGCACACACTGCCAGTGTTTTATCGCAGTAACAAGAAAGCCTGGATGACCATTGTACTGTTTGAGGATTGGTTCATGAATTGTTTCATTCCTCGAGCCAAAGAGTATTGCCTGCAACAACAGATTCCATTCCATTCAAGATTTTGCTGATTTTGGATAATGCTCCGGGACACCCACCACACCTGGACGACATGCACCGTGATGTTAAGGTAGTGTACATTCCACCTAGCACTACCTGTCATCCAACCCACGGATTAAGGTGCTATTGCTGCCTTTAAAGCGTATTATTTACGTACGACCTTCGCTCAGGCTGTTGCTGCTACTGAAGGTGAGAAAACGCTCAGAGAGTTTTGGAAGGAGTACAACGTTTTGTCAAGTATAAAGAACATTAGTGCAGCATGGGATCAGGTTACAAAACATTGCATGAATGGAATATGGAAGAAAATCCTGAAAAGATATGTGAACAGTTTTAGAGGATTTAATGAAAACGAAGTTATTTTGGATATTAGTAACAAGATAGTGGAGTTAGGTAAGCAGCTTCAGTTAGAAATTGATAATGAAGATGTTGAACATTTGGTTGAAAGTGTAGCAGAGGAGCTCAACAACAAAGATCTCATCGAACTGGAAGCACACAAAGATGCAGAGGAAGAAACCAGTCTAAATGTAGAAGAAGGACCTGCACCCCCCAAAAAGTTTTCAGTGAAGCAAATGGCAGAGGCATTTGCTACAATTAATAAAGGAATGCAAATGTTTGATGGCATGGATCAAAATTATGAGCGTTATGCCAAAGTTGACAGAATGATCCAAGATGCACTTGCTTGGTACAGAGAAATTTACAATGAAAAGAAAAAGCAAACTGTGCAGTATAAATAGGACATCTATTTTAAGAAGTCCCCCAGTGCTGTTTCCTCACGCCCCACCAGTGCTGCCTCTTCACTCCCTCAAGATGATCCAATACCTTCAACCAGCAAGTTTCCACAGTACATAAACCTGTCTGAAGAAAGCGACAGTGATGACCCACCCAGCCCTGTCTCCTCCTCTGCTTCATCCAATTAATATAGTCTCCATGTACACCTGTAAATAGAAAATTATGGGGGGCCCGTGTGCATTCAGCTGACTACATTAAAGGTAAGTGCTCAGTCACACTGTATCCATTCCTCATTATTTATTACTTTTACTGTACTGCATTTCGTTGTATATATTTATTTTTTTTAATCTATGTCGGACTTACGACCATTCCGACTTACAACCTGCATTTGGGTCCCTAACCCCGTCGTAAGTCGGGGGGCACCTGTATTCCATACCGTTAGGCAGATTAGGAAAGGAGGTGGAGTAGCAATTTATGTCAGGGATAATCTGGTGTGAAATAAATAAGGAAATAAAAACAGAGCGGAATACAGAAACAATTTGGATAGAATTAACCGATGGTAGGGAAAAATTAATCACAGGAGTAATAGATAAACCTCCTAATCTTGATAAGAGTTAATGAGCGA